CTGTCGACGTACGAAAACCACACTCTATAACGCTACGCGCACACTGCAGCCGGGATCGGCCGAATTGTGCTGCTGTGTGATTATATGGGCGCTCTCACACATAAACCGATAACCGAACCGACATCGGCCGTTGACGTCCGTCAGTGACGATAAATTCAAACATGTTTGTTTTTCTCGTCCGATGTCAGGTGAAAAGTACCAAAATGGACTGCGAAAAATTAACTTATTAGGTGTAAAAAGAAAAAAAATTACATATAAATCACATGTTTAGAGTATTTCAATTAAAATGTATCAAAATATTTCACTGCTTACAAAATTGTAATGAAAACTAGATTTGTGTGTGCAAATACGGTCGGCAAATAATCTTTGTCAAATTTGCCGGCCGAAATCGGTCGTCCTATCGGATGCAATGTGCGGCTAGCGTAAGTCACTCATCATGGCCGTGCTGGTATATGGCGCAGAAGCACGGACAATGACAACATCCGATGGGCCGGCTCTTGGAGTATTCGAGAGAAAGATTTTGCGGAAGATGTACGTGCCTTTACGCGTTGGCGACGACGAGTACCGCAGACGATGGAACGATGAGCTGTATGCGCTTTACAACGACATGGACATAGTGCAGCGAATTAAAATACAGCGGCCCCGCTGGCTTGGCCATGTCGTTCGAATGGACACCGACGCTCCAACTCTGAAAGCACTCAACTCGGAACCCGCAGGTGGTAGCAGAGGTATAACGCTTTCGTCAGGTTATTTAAGACGGTAATGGAGGATATGACATCTGTTGACCACAAAACCAAACGTGAACGTGAATTGTTCGCGAAAACGTTGGACCCAATGTTTCAATAAAATAAATAACTTTGGGCGGGGCGAAGTTTGCCGAGTCTGCTAGTGCTTACATAAAACACAAGTACAGAAGCAAGCGTTCAGCGTCAAATGGTTTAAGGGTAAAAATGACAAAGCTTCCAATAAACTTAAAGGAAATAATGAAATCATCAAAACAATTTCATTCCTCACATTAAAGCTTAATGAGCACAAAATTTGCATTGTGTATTCTTATTTTCGTAAACAGTCAAACCATTTTAAGAGTAGGTGTACCGGAAAACTTTTTTAGCACAAAAAGGGTGCCGTGGTGGAAAAGGTTTGGGAACGCCTGGTCAAGGGTACTGTATCATAAGCCGCGGGTGATGCGGCTCGAAGGACCATGTTTAGCTGAGTGAGAGCGGCAGACAAGGTTTAGAGTTGTGATCGGGTTAGAGCAGTTAAGGAGGTAGGGATTACCTTTGTTACGAGTGTTCATATATCGAGTTCAATGAGCCCATATGGTTTATAAATGCATATCAAGTCAATCACGCACTTCATATGTCTGATATGCGAGCGATAGAGAGAGAGAGATATGCGGGCAGGCTGATGAAGCGGTAGCGCATGATGTGACCCTTTTACCACTTATTAATTGCAGCCTCCATTGGAGGAGTCATGCTCTAGCTGCCGTAGGCTGCTTCGCAATGAGCTGGGATTTATTCAGGGATGCATTCATGCAGAGTCCTTGTGTGACTTGGTTTGAACCATTGGTTGTTCAGAGGAAGTTTTTCATTTGTCATAATAATAAACCACAAAAGCTGAATTTTATATGCAAACACTTGTTTCCTATCTTTTGTTGTTTTAAAGATAAATGTGTTTTTAAGTGGTATTTAACGTTGCATTTTTTGGAATTCGGTTATATATAATGTCACCAGTGATCGGACTCAAAAAAAAAAATATGTCGTAGAATCTGGAAAAAAATGTGGTAGATTTCAAAAAATGTGGTAGATCTCAGGTTTTGGATCAAATTTTGTACAAAAATTTAAAAAATTCTGCAAGGTTTCACCTAAACTGCAAGATTGAAGTTGCTAAAAATTGCTTTGAGTTTTGGCAATTTCTTTCCTTGCAGTATAAAGCAGTTCCTTCCATATCAAGATATTTTTCGAACATATTTTGAAAGATTTCTGCAACCTTGCGCAGTGCTGCCAGCTTTTCTTTTTATCACATCACGATGTAGCGCACAAATGTGGCACGTTCCAAAAACAGCTACTTGGGATTTGCCGATTTTGATAATTCTCAAGTAAAAGTAAACATCGCTTTAGAAACTTTAGATACACTGAAACTTGCTAATACTTTCACAAAAATTGCCGTTTTTTAACATTTTCGCTATTAATTCTTTTTATAAATCATATATTTTGCAATTTAGCAAAATAAACCCAGTTTTCTGTCGAAAAATTGAATCGTTAGTGTTTAGTGTTGGAAAATTTTTGTTCTTAAATTAAGAAAATTATGTCGGGCAAAAATAAAACTACTCAAAAACGCGAATATGTGGTAGATTTCAGACCTTGTGTGGTAGATGTGGTAGATGCTCAAAAACGTGGCAGATCTACCACAATGTGGTAAAAGTCCGATCACTGAATGTCACACGTACGGGAAACCTGGCGAATCCTGCAAAGTTAAAAATTAAACTAAAGTATTTTAATAAAGATTCAAAGAAACTATAAAAATATTAACTCTTCGAAAATACACATTTATGAGAAATCTGTAAACCGAAATACGCAGTCTTTAACGTTACTTACTTGACTATATTCTCCATTTTGTTCGTTACTTAATATACTTGCCTTTTAGCAATAAGTTTTTTTTAATTAAATTAAATTTAAGAAATATATATATTTTTCTCTTTAAAATAATAAAAATTGATAAATAAAAGAAATTAAAATAAAAAATGAAAATAAAGCAAAAATAAGTGAAAAAAATATTTTAAAAAATTACATGAAAATAAAATAAAATTTTTTTCTTCTTACCTAATTAAAAAAGAAAAAATAAATAAAAAAAAAGAAGAAGAAAATCCCCTGGCTGAGGCTCGAACTCAGATCTTTTGAATGGCACTCCTTCGCTCTGCTAACTCGGCTAATTGCGGCTGGTAGAGCGACGCGAGCTAAATGATATACAAGTGCTTTGTCTCAAAATAGGCTTTCACCACGAGTAGTGAATGAGAGAGCTTTTTTCTAACATTTTTTTGCTAAAATAACAAAAATCTTTCGAACTATCTTGCCATCTGTCTTACGAAAGACTTTTTACTATCTTAGCCAGAATTGCCCTGTTTAGATGTATGTATATTAACAATTTTGTGGACATTTTAAAGAACAACTGAAGTCTATCTTTAACGGACAAACAAAATAGCACATGCCGACAGAGCTTTCTTTACCGTCAGAGCAATAACTTTTATTTAAAAGAACATATTCAGTTGCTGAAAACAAAAATATCTTAAAAGGCTGTGAATAGCGGTAAAATAATTATATATATCTTTTGAATTACAACACATATGCTATTTTGTTTGTTCGCGAAGGATAGACTTAATTTTTTTTTCAAATGTCCACATAAATTACATATATCAAGAATTGGCGGGTGGGTCAAAGAAATAATTTTCTTCACTCGTTCCTCGCTCCAAAATTGTTTACCAATCACATGTATAAATTAGGGGGGTAATTTTTTTACTATGCGCGTATAGCATAGGAGGATTTTACGTGTATTTCTAAGCAAATTCGCCGAAGAAACCATGGATCTGAAATCAATTTGGGGTTTTCCAAATTGGGAAAAGGTTTCGAAGAAAATTTGAAAATTTTTACTGTTACCTCTTCTGGTGGAAGTTTTAAGAAAACCATAAGTTCAGAAATGGATTCCTCATACCAAAAAATCTTTTATATACACGTAGAATACTTCTGTGCTATACGCGCCTAGTCGGAAAAATCTCCCATACAAATGACTCGCCCTAGTATACATACATATGCATATCAAAAAAATTTAAATTTTAATGAACTGTAATAATCTTGTATACCAATTAAATTATCTTTTTTGTTTTGTCTAAGCCCCAATAATTAATACTAAATAGACTTCCAAAAAGACTCCGGAGACGTAAAAAAAATTATACAAAAGGCCCTCCGATGACATCTTTCCTGGGGCCCTGCATATCGACACTTATTCACGGTGGAACAGCAATTTTTGGGTATTAGCGAAATAATGCCCCAACTTTAGTATTCATGCGGCGTAGTCAGACTCCAAAGGACTTTGTCCACCTCATCCCAAAAAAAATCGTAAGAAGAAGAGTTGGAAAAATAAATTTTTCTACGAAAAAAATTCTGGTTAAATTTATAGAAAAGAAATATATTTGAAGCCAATTTATACACAAAATTCGTGACGGAATGTAACATGTGTGTACATATTATGATTACCGCTTGCTGCTGGGTTACAAAACACTTGCTGTACTTTACCAGCGACAAGTTCAAAATACGTGCATAAAAATTAACAGCACAGGCATAAAAGTGTCAAATAAGGGACAATAGAACATGCAAGGGAAAGTTCACTACCCTGCAGGAAATGTATTTAACTATAAGCTAACCTTAAGTTGATTAGGAAGGAGCTAAAAGTCACTATTATCTGTGTATGTCCTTTGACGAAAGCTAACTATATTTCTATGGTGATGGCCGCGAATTTTTTTTTTATTTGTCCTCAATTCGAAAAAGTATTTGCGAAGTGCAGGATATTTAAATAGAAATGGGTTTAAAGAAAACTATCTCCTGCATTACTTGTCAACTAGTTTCAAGTTAGCTTTTTGTAGCTAACTACAAGTTATATAAAAACAAACAAAGTTAACTACAAGTGGGTCCTTTTTAATCAATTGATAATTTTTTTCTGCAGGGTAGCTACTGCCTTAATCACATACATACATATGTAAGTATATTCATACATACATACGAGAATGCATGTATGCATATAAGGATGTATGTATATGTATATATATGCTAATCGACCCTATTCAACCCGCTTTTTGAATACGCACTTTATAGCCTGGGCAATGTTGCATATGTAGTAGCCACCTTTACCACCAACACTAGCTTTTACCACTACCATTGGTAAAAAGGACACAGCCGGACATTTGCTAGCCCTTTGCTAGCCTTTGGTAGCAGTGTACCACTATAGATCGCAGCCAGTATGCGGTTTTATTTTACTAGCATTACGTCGCGGTCTAAGCTCGAATTATGTCTTAGGCATTTAAGACACCGTCTGTGTATCGTGAAAAGTGTTGGATGTTTGACCTCTGCAGACCGTTCGGTTAGTTGGTTTTTAAAAATTATAAAATGAACTAAGATAAAATTACGTGCATACATATGCACATACGTGCATATATAACACAAATTAATCGTTCTAAATGTCCGACAAATGTATGAATTCTGGGATCAAAACTTAGCCAAATTTTTTTGAGCAATCGCAATGATATCCAAATATAGGAAATGAGGTCATTGGTTGCATAAAAGAGTTTTAGAATATGTGTACTAAATATAAAAAGAATTAAATTGGCAATAGAGCCAGTTTGCAGAAAGTTGTATGTAAGCATTTGCTTAGAAAAAGCTGCATTAAATTCTGTTCAAAATTCTGACACAAAACTCTACAAAACATCAGATTTTACCTGAGACATAACTATGTAATATAAGAGAAAAGAATAAAAAACAATCAATAATTATTATATTATGATACACATTTTTCGAGTCGTCTATAATTATTATTCAACGACTTATATTATAAAAGTCCTTTCAAGTAATTATTATTCCGGGTCTTGCATTTTACAGATTGTAATTTTAAAAAATAAAAATCCAAAATGGAGATTGTTAAAGTAAAAAATTTCTCTGGAATTGGTTAGCTAAAACAACAATTCGGACAGATATGAAGGTTTAAATGTAAAGCATGTGAAAAAGCAGATTTCGGTTTATATGTGGCGTTAGTACAGCGACGAGTCTTCGAGTTGATTAGATTTTAAGAGATTTCTCGCCTATTGTGCTTTCTAAAAGTCGTGGCATTCCAATATTGTGAATAAGTGTATAGATCTTCGCTTATTATAAATTTAAAAACTTCCATAGAGGGAGTGCCTCGAATTCGTATCTGAAACAGAAACGACGCCGATCTTCCTATATTTACCCCAGCCTAAGCGTTCCTCAGCAATAGAGTTGCAAAACTATCGTTTGTACTATCGATAGTATCTATAATTTTATTTTTTGAAAAACATCGATTGTTTTTGGGTGATAGTCGATAGTATGCCGGTGCATTGAAATTTTGTGATCTTTACTTAAATAAGTGACGCTGTAAATTGAACAAATGAAAATATTTAGAATTTCACGCTTAAGATGTAATATTTATACTTACCTATGTGCAATATTTATATTAACATATGTACATATGTATATATTATACACACTTTGTTCGGAGCTGAAGTTTCCCTACATATACAACACGATAGTATACGATACTATCGGAAATTTCGATAGTATTTTTCAAACTATCGAATGGCGTCACTGTCGATAGTTTTACAGCTCTACTCGGAATTCGGCTACTATTTCTGTACGGCTAGCTAAGAAGAACTCCTTCTGCTCAAAGCTCAACATTTCGTTGCCTTCTAAACAGCTCTGGGCAAATTTGAAAAGGCTTGGCGTGCGGTCAAGCTCAGAAATAGCCTGCTCACTTGATCCCAATGAACTCAATATTTTTTTTTTGCTTCAAGTAGTTCCTTGTGTAATTACACGTCTGTAGCAAAGACCACTTCTTAGTCTTCTGACCAACACTCTCTCTCGACATTTCAAGTTAGTTCCTTTTGCGAGGAGGAAGTGGCCAGGTGTGTATGTGGTATTAAATCTAATGCTGTGGGGAATGACGAGCTTCCGATCAAGTTTGTCAAATTAATTTTTCCTAACATTCTCGCCTGCTTTACACACACACTTAATCACTGCTTAACCACTTCGTACATTCCATCCAATTGGAAAGTAGCAAATGTCACATCAATAGCCAAAAAATCTGGTGCTTCTCTGATTTGTGAATTCTGGCCCATAAGTATATTAACAAGATTTTCTAAGGTGTTTAAGATGCTTTTAACAAATATCTGAATTCATTCATAAAAATAAACCCTCTGCAGAGTGGGTTCAGAGCTTGTCACTCCTGTTCTACTGCTGTTTTAAAGTCTTAGACGATATACGTCAGCCATTCGATCAAAGTCATTTAACACTATTTTGACTCTGTACACCATAATTTATTGTGTGAAAAACTCGCTAAGTATTTCAGCTTTAGCAATATGGCAGTAAAACTCATAGAGAGCTATTTGAGCGACAGGTTTCAAAAAGTGAAAATCGGCAATAATTGTTCTAACCTCGTACATATGTACTCTGGTGTTCCTCAGGGATCCATATTGGGCCCCCTATTGGTTAGCATTTTCATAAACGAGATTTTCAGCACCTGCGCTCATACGCGCTTACATGCCTATGCCGATGATGTCCAGCTGAATGTTTATAATAAAATTGGATCGATTCAGAATATTTGTCAACAACTTAACGAGGACTTAAGCTCAATATTAGCATGGTTTAGGGAAAATTTACTTTGCCCCAATGCTCAAAAATCTTGTAAAATACCTATCACTAAAGATAAATTGTCGGCATCTGATGTTCCCAACTTATTTATTGGTGCCAACCAGCTTAAATTAGTTGACAAAGCAAAAAATTTGAGTTTCGTTATTAACTCTAGACTTGCGTGTGATGATCATGTTAATGAAGTTGTGAGTAAAATATTTTTTACTCTACGATGTCTTAGAGTAACTTCACCTTATGTACCGGTAGCCACTAAAAAAAGTTAATTACAAGTTTAATTGTTCCTTACATCACGTACTTTGAAAACGTTTACGGCAAATTAGATTCCCACTCATTCCAAAAATTGAAAATCGCCATTAACTCTGCCACAAGATAAGTATTTGGTTTAGTGGCGGATCCAGCGGGGGGGTTTTGGGGTTAAACTACGTGTCAGTCAGTGGCGGACCCAAGGGGGGTGTTTTAATACATAGACGCCATATTATACATGCATATGCGCCATATTAAAACACCCCCGCTGGATCCGCCAGTGATTTGGTTTAAAGAAATACGATTATCTCTCTTCTATGCGTAATTCTATACCTACTTGGCTGTGATTTACAAAATTTCCTGAACGCGCGTTATTGCATTTTTATGTTCAAATTATTTATCACGAAGATCCCGGAATATTTGTATAATAAACTTGAGTTCTCCAAGAATACCCGTTCGTCAGGTCTTATTCTTCCGAGATTTAACTATTTATGCATTGTTTTTTATTAATGCGGTAAGGCTCTGGAACTCCCTTCCACTGTCCTTGAAGAACGCGTTGCACATTGGCAACTTCAAAAAACTTATATTTCACTTTTTTTCTTCCAAGCGTGATAAAGAATAGTGGTTATAAGCTTACCTTTTGTTTTATTTTAGAATATATGATTTGTAATTCAACATATACATTACTTTATCTATATTGTAATATTAATTAATTATTAATAATAATAATTAATTATTAATTACGAACTGTACGAAGCTTTGAGTAGAGTAAAGTCTTTAAGAACTTAAAAATTATCTTGGGTTATCAGGTCTCTAGCAATACGAGATTAATTTTTGTCTTTAACGAAGATCTTTAAATAAATCTTGAGCTAAATACTGAAGGGGAAACAAGAATCAAAAATTTTGTACGCCCAAGTATTATGACATTTTATTTTATTATATAATATATAGTTTATAAATGAATTATATTTTTATAAATCATATGTTTTGAATCATATGTTTTTGAGAAAAATACACCGTAGTGATTTAAAAATTTCAAAAGTACATTTCTCAACTGAAAAATAAGATGTTCGAGCTAACTCGACGGCACACAGTGTACTTTTTAACACTTCATGCGAATTAATCGTAGCGATTTCGACAGAAGCAACATGGTTTCGAAGGCTAATGTAATTTCCTTTCACGGGAAATATTGCCATTGAGCCACAATTACTCCTGGACCTTAAAAAAACATGCAAAATCCAACGGATTTATTCCAAAAAAAGTTTTGTATTTTTTATTATACTAATATTATAGATCTTGAGACGGGAAATACGATTCCACTGTTTGAAAAACGAAAAAAATTGTAACCTCTCAATTTGAAAAATGCATTATATATTGCAATTTTTATGATTTGCATGCCGATATGTATCCTTCACACAATTTTATATTCCTCGAACACGTAGTGTATTTTAGTGCTGTTCAATACCTTCAATTTGAGCCAAGGTTCTAGGCCCTTTCAGAGCCAAATTATAACGATTCTGAAGTTAAACTTCGAAATTTCATTCGACATTTTACGCAATTTTTTTTTATAATTTCGGAGTAAAAACTAGTACAGCAGTTTCGAAGTTTGGCTTAAAATTGTTATAACTTGGCTCCTAGTGGGCCTAGAAACTTCTACCTTAGCTCAAATTAAAGGTCTTGAATTCCACTAAAACGCAATTGTTGCCCGAGGGATATAAAATTCTATGAAGGATGCACAGCTGCATGCAAAAAAAATGCAATAAGTAATACATTTTTTTAATTAAGGTCTTCAAATTTTTTTCAAATTTTGGGCAGTGGAATCGTGTTGCTCGTCTCATAATCTATAATATTAGTATAATAAAAAACACAATCTTTTTTTTTTTTGAATAAATCCGATTGATTTTGCATGTTTTTTTCGGAGAACAATTTTTTTAAGGTCAAGGAGTAATTGTGGCTCAATTGCAATATTTTTCCGTGAAAGGCAATAAGGCATACTAGAGTGCAAGTTACTGTCGAAATTCGACAGTTTTTCTAGTTTTAGAAGCCTTGGAGAGGTTTTCTAACTTAACACGTAGCAAAACTTATACGGTACAAATTAACTAACCGGAAAATCTTCTGTTGGTCTTTGGAGGACCTCGGCAGGACTTGGAATTGACCCGATACATTCAAGTTTATCGATAAATTTCAATGATTTGATACATATCGATAGTTCGATGAATTTCAAGAACACTAAAATTCGATAACCTAACAAAATTCGTTAACTCGACCAATTTCGATAAATGTGAAATTCGATGGCTCGATAAATTTCGATAACTCAAAAATGTAAAAACTTTGGATACCTTTATAAATTTTTACTTTTGACATCTCCACATTTTTCGAAAGCTATCGAAATATTTTGATATCTCATTACACTCGATAAAATTCGATAAGCAGTGATAAATCGATAAGCTTATATAATCT